ATTTTAAACTGTTATTATACTGTAGCTTGAGAACGTGATGTGCCTTTTTCAGGTTTACATTCACATAATGAAAATCCAAAGGTCAAATTTGGTAGCAGAAAACAAAAACAGTACTGTAATGTACTGTAGATCTCTGTGGAACACAAAGACTGATGGAAGGGGTTTCAGATTTGTCTGTGTTAAGAGTACAATGGCCGCAGCCACTATCATTGTCAATAACGATCTGTTTAATGACCATGAGTCAGCACTCAGACAAAGGTTTAAAATGCTGAAGGTGTGTTTTTATTGCTAATAAAATCGCTTTAAGTTTTGCCATACCTCTATAGGTAAATTTGACCAAAGTGTTTGTGGGTGGACTCCATTACTGTATATCCAATGTGTGGTGAGAAATCATGGGAGCAGGGAGAATCTGTGAAAATTAAATTAATGTGTTTACATGTAGTAATAATAATAATAATACACGTTATTTTATGTACGGTACCCCCTGTAAAAATAGCTTCTCAGAGCACTTTTCAATAGGTGTTAAAAAAATGTTATAAAAGAAAATTAGTAAATTCAGCAGACAAAAATTAAGTAAAAGCTTTTCTGAACAGGAAAGTTTTGAGTCCAGATTTTAATGCACTCAAGGTAGCTAACTCTTTGATGTTTTTGATAATAGAATTCTAGAGATTCAGGGCTTTGCATGCGAAGGATCTACAGTATCACTCATAAAATGTACAATAAACAAGCTTGGAGGACATATTGCACAGAAGATCGCAGTCTGTTGCTCAAAGGTTGCGAGGTGAACAGTAGAAAGATAAGTCAGATAAATACTGAGGTTTCAAGTCACGTACTGTAAGCCTTATAGGTGAGGATTGTGATCAATTCACAACACTGTGATCAGTGTTGATCAGCTTTTTTGCTTTTCTTTTCTGTCAAAGACAACAATAGAATGCAGCCTGTAGATTTTTCTGAGAAGAATTATGTATTTGACGGGAAGCATATTATGACTCCTAAATCTAGCATAATATCAGAACACTGAGAAAACTGAATGGTTTAACCAGGGAGAGGCAAAGTGTTAGAGTAAAATCAAAACTCTCATACAGGGGACTAGCCCTCATAGCAGGTTTCTGTTGACTCCCAACTTTTGAATGATTGTTGAAATGTTTATATTTCAAGTAGGGGGTCCTTATTCATATGTATTTAGAAAGGGGTGCTTTACAGAGCACAGTCTAAAAATCCCTAATCACCAGGATGAAACAACTCTCACAATGTGCCACAAAAGGACTCTTGGAACAACTAGCCATAATAACAAGTAGCAAAAGCCACTGAAACAGACAGGTTTATTTTTTTGTGAAATTGAAATAATCAATTAAAATGTTGCTCAAGTAAACAGGGTACCACTGTAAGCTTGGGACTGTTGTAAATATTCTGTATTTTTCATACATTCCTGACACACATTGTACAGTACCGTATGTGTCCACCCATTAATCAGAAC